TGGGCTTCCCACTCCCCTGGCTTTCAGAGAGGTCAAGAGCAAGAAGGCTTCCGTGGCCCAGCCCCTTTGTTAAGAACGCCCTCTGTTCCTGCTCCATGCCCACCACTGGTAAGTCGAAAGCAGCCCCAGAGAACATGTTTCACAGCTCGACAAAGAATACGTCGTTTCACACGCTACCCTAGTGAGTCACTTTGCTTCTCATAACTTTAGATTCCGAATGGCTTAAAGTCGCCCCACGGCGGGTCTCTGTGTCAAATGCCTCCCTGTCCTGCTTTTAGGGCTGTATTTGCAAACATTAAGCTAATTCCAGATTGGTGTTTAGGTAACCAGTTAGCCAAAGTGAGCTAACTCCCTGAGTCATTACAGGTAAAGTACCTGGCCTCCTGGGCACATAGTAGGTGTTTCATAAATGCCAGTTCCTCCAGTTGCTAACAAGCCTAAAGTAGCTGAGCATGAGCCTTTGGAACTCGACCGTCTAGTTCCTAGAAGAAATATTTTTCTTGGTCGTGGTGTTTGTCTAGTTGGAAAAGAGCAGAATCAGCAAAGGAGTTGAAAACAAGTCGTAAGGCCGTGGGCCGTTGTCTGAGGCTCACCTGGTGCCGGAGCACTGGGTGCCCAGGCTGTTTGCCTGGCTTTGAGTTTCTTCCTCACAGACCATATCTGCCTTCCGTCACAGTTTCAAAGCAACCCGGCTGGGAGCCCAGCGATGCTGGTGATAAGGTCTGGGGCTGCCGGCCGCGGTTGAAGGGGCTGCCGGTGAGGTCATGGGGATTCAGGCATGTTATCTGTCTGAGGATGAACTCCCCTGCTGAGGGCAGCAAAGCAGCACCACGCTTGGGCTGGGCCCAATGCTCCGGGCTTATTTTAGAGCCAAATGAAAGCAGGCAATTATCATGTTCTTTAACTATAATCAGCCGAACAGGATACAGGTAGCCACAAAATGGAGTCATTTAAAACAGTAACAGAATCACTTCAAAAAGGGTAATAATCTGGAAGTCTCTCTTTCTGTAACATCTAGTTAAAGCTGGCTAAGTGTGGAGAAGGCAGGGGAGGCTGGTTTTGTGACCTCCTTGATGGCCACGGGATCCAGGATCCAGAGAGCTGCCTGGAGAAATGAAAGGCGGGAACCCTGGCTGGGAGGCTGCCTCGGAGCAATTGCCTTTGGCCCTGACATGTAAACTACGGCCTTTGAAAGTGATCCCGGGAGAACCCTGAGCTTCCTGCCATCTGCCTGTCAGGGCGGTTGCCAGGGCAAGGGCTCTCCCCGGCAGGCCAGCTGGTCCGGCCTGGCCCAGTGACCCCACCACAGCCCCTCAGCTGGGGTTTGAAATTTGACTCTGGACATTGGTAAGGAGACCTTATCTTGGGCAGCACTTCCTGTGACATTCCAAAGAGACTCTGGGATGGGGCACAGGACTGAATTCCAAGCATTTCCTGGAACCTGTCGGAGCCTGCTGCTGAGCAGAGCGAGTTGGGTACAGCTGGGCCCCATCTAATTCTGGCCCTGCCACAGGTGAGGTAGGTGAACCCCAGCACGTGGCTAGGCTGGCTGAGGTTTGGCTTGCATCGCTGAGAAATGGGCTGGTTAGGAATCTATCTTGCAGGGTTTAGAAGAGTACCTCACTCACGGTGGCTCAAAAGATACTGGCTGTTGTTCTCCTAGCCCTCAGCTCAGAAGCCCAGGAGCAGAAGTTCCTGTGTCACCTCTTGATGACCCCACACAGCTTCTTGGGGTGCCTGGCACTGCAGTGACGTGTGAATTTTACACCCTGTCATGTGTGCCAAGGAACTAAGAAAATGAGGAGGCCTGTCCATCCTCCCACCAGCTGGAAAAAGCCTGAGTCAATTCCCATCGCTTTAAACACCAGCCCCAGTAATTAATAATGGCAGTGAACACCATGCAAGTACATCACAGCAGCCCTGCCCTCTCCCGGACGATTCCTCTGTATCGTGCACTGTGCTAATTGCAGCGCATGTAACCTCAGTGAATCACCACGACCACCGTGAAAGGCAGCCGTGATTCTCAGCCTTTACAGATGGGGAAACTGAGGCACCAGAAAGGTAAAAAAAGGTCACACACACACAAAACATTGTAATAAGTAGATAGTTAAGATTTGAGCTCTGGTGTCACTGACTTCAAAGCTGGCATTTTAACAATTAGGTCACACTGCTGTCACTTGGGACTTCGGGAACCAGAAGGTATTTACTCCATCTAAAGGAGTTTTAAGAGCCCAAATGCTAACAAAAAAAAAATAGGCTTTCTGTCATAAGGATCATAACAGGCTAGGTCACCACATTTCAGTATACTTCCTCGTGCCTGATCATTTAAATCCTGGAACAACTCCGTGAGTCATTTTATAAGAGAAAATGAAGCCCCAGAAGAGGGTAAGCAACCTGCTCAAGATCCCACTCCTGATAAATGGCAGAAGCAACCCCTGAAACCAAGGCCCAGGCCCTCACACGCTCCACTCAACCTCTGCTGCCTCTCACCCCAGCTCCGGCCCAAGTACAGACAGTTGGGCCGAGGAGAAGGATGAAGCCAACAGTAATTCTTGCGAAATCCTGTAGAAATCCCATGGGCGAGTTTGCCGACTGTGGCACGGTGGGCCAGGCAGGGACCCATTAGGGTTGTCCACTGTGGCCCACAGTCGATTCTGTGGCTGGTCACCCTCAGGGCGCTGGTGATGGCTGTGAGAAGTTTGGGGACTTCCCCAAGCCAGAGACGGGGCTGGTCGCTCACTGCCAGCCAGCACTGAGTATGCTCCTCGTAAAGCACTGCATTACTTTGGAAGGGGTTCCTGTGGGGCGAATTCCTTGCAGTTATGTAGACGTTCACGTAGCATCGCAGTGCTAACGTGTCTCAGGCAGCTGCTGTGTAACCCAGGCTGGACTTTAAGTGTCGCTCCTGAGGGGTGCCTGGCATGGGGGAGGGGGCCTGCGGGGAGGATGGGCTGCACGTCTCCTTGGGGAGAGGGTGTTTGCTCCATCTAATAGCAGTTAACTTGCTACGAGAAACCGTCATTATCCTGTACTTGGTAGAATTGTTGGGAAATTAAAACATCTGAAACAATTGTAAAGTAGAACTTCTGAGTATAGGTCATAATTGGGACAAAAGCTATGCTTTTATCATCAATGGAGAAAAAAAATGTCTACTTTCTTATGTCATAAACAGCACTGATTTCAAAAGTAAGAATATACTCACTGTTATGGAGGTGGTAGGGGGTGGGAATTACAATCAAGGGGCCAGATGGTTTCCAACACATTGTCAGAGTGCTGGGCTGGTGTTGGTCCAGGCATGTCCCCTAGTGATTGAGAGTGACAGAGGATCCCAATGTTCCTTAATCCAAGCTGGCCCTTCCCAGCTCCACTCCACCTTGGAGACATGGCCAAAGGGGATTCCATCCGGGGCTCAGAATGCAGTTCAGAGCATGGTGGTAGGGGGTGGGAATTACAACCAATGGGCCAGATGGTTTCCAACACATTGTCAAAGTGTTGGTCCAGGCATGTCCCCTAGTGATTGAGAGCTACAGAGGATCCCAATGTTCCTTAATCCAAGCTGGCCCCTCCCAGCTCCACTCCACCTTGGAGACATGGCCAAAGGGGATTCCATCCGGGGCTCAGAATGCAGTTCAGAGCAGCCTATTTCCTGGGGGGTATCCTGGTTTACACACAGCATCCTTGACAAACCAGAATGACTGTCCCATCAGTGTGGGGGGTTCTCCTATCCCCTCACCACCCCAATACCTTTATTCCCTGTGTTCTTCAATTTCCAAGTGTCACAGACCAAAATGAGTTTGTCCGCCCAGCACTAGGAGGGGCAAACACTAACCACTGAGAATTGCAGTGGAGAAAGATGGACGGTTTTATTATGAATGGTGCCACCCAGGAAAACAGAAGCATGAACTCCAGGGTTCCGAGTGGGTTTTTAAGGGTATGAGGGCAAGTTTTAATTGGTGGACCTTGGAGCTTGGCCACTTCTAGTGAGGGGCATCAGTAGGGGATGTTCCTAGACAACAGACCCTCTGCTTCTGAAGGAGTTCTGGTGTTCAAGTTGCGGTTACTAGTATGTCCTGGCCCTTTGGTTTCTTGGGAGATGGGGGCTGGGGGTCGTGGGGTGCAGCTGGAGGCCAAAGTTCTCTCCTCTATGCTTGCTTTCGGCTGCATGATGTGCCTTTTTGGTCTGTTGTCTCTGAAAAGCAACTCAACATCTCATTAAATATGAGAGGAGCATTTTGAGCTGGTTCTGTGGTTATGCAAGAGCAGCATGCCTGTGTCTCCAGTCCTGGAAGTTGCCATGTTTCTGGGGGGAGGGCTGAAAAAATATAACTTTCCTCCACCTGCTAAGTTCTTCTGGCTGGGCTAATGATTAAATGAACAGAAGCAGATTCACAGGAGAAACTGTCCAAAGTGTATTATGCGCATGTACATTCAGGGGTCTATAAGAATGTGACCCAAAGCTCATTGGACAGTTGAGGTTTATGTGCCATTCTCTACAGTGAAGAAGGGGGCAGGGGTCTGTGAATTCCCAGGGGAGGTGGGTAATTGACAGGAAGATGAGAGAGGACACAGGGCAAACGAATCCCTGCTAGGCAACCCAGAAACAAGGGGACAGAGGGTCTCCCCTGCAGAACGGCTGTTGCCCGGGTCCTTCCCGTCTGTTACTCAATGCACACAGGCTGAGGTGAGAATGCCGATGCCCTTCCTGAAGCCGGCCTTTCCATCTGAATTCCCCTGGGCAGGAAGAAGGCGGGTCAGAGGTTCTTTCTGAGTCTTTTGTTTCTTTAGAAACATCTTAAAATCAATATCCCCAAAGGCACATTGTGGGTGGCACAACCCAGGCCCCCTTCGCCGTCCTGTCGTCCTTGCTAGGCCTACACTGATTGGTGTTTGTCACTGCTACCCCGACGTAGTATGAGTGACAGTTCACCTTGCCGAGCACAGCATCACGTGGTTCCTGTGTTTGCCCACTTCCTAAAGCTCCTTTCCATTCTCTCCTGCAGAATCACCCTCTATGACTACCAGGCCATGTGCAGGGCCAACAAGGAGAGCAGCGACGCCGCCCGGGGCCTCCTGGATGTAAGTACAGCCAGTCACCCAGCAAGCAGCTGCACCGGCTGCCTCCCTCCCAGCAGACCTTTTCCGTTGGGGTAATCAAGCTATCTTTTCCAAACCAGCAATGTGTGAAAGTATTTGCTGGTTTTACTGGTTGAGCAAAGTCACTTATGTTTAAAGCCAAATTTAGTGATTATATGAATGACAAACACATCTAAAGTCTTCGATGTCTGCAGCAGCCCCCTTTTGATGGGTAGGAAAAGGGAAAAGTTTTGAGGATTTTCTTATGATATAAAAGAGAATTTAGTTTGGTTCAACAGAAATCTTCCTTTTGGTTTGTAACAGAGCTGTTAGCCTATGAACAGATTCACTTTTTTCCCCTTTTAATCCTCACCAGAGGACATTTTTTTTCCATTGATTTTTAGAGAGAGTAGAAGGGAGGGAGAGAGAGAGAGAAAAACATCGATGTGGGAGAGACACATGGATCAGTTGCCTCCCACAGGCACCCCAACTGTGGGGGGTGGGGGTGGGGATCAAACCCAGGTAAGTGCCCTTGACTGGTAATTGAACTGTAGACTGATACTCTGACCACTGAGCCACTATAGCCAGGGCCAAATTCACATTTTGATAATAGATCCTCACCCCTAATCATGCTGCCACTGACCTTCAACATCATTTCCCTGGCGCTGTTTCCATGGCTGATGTCACAGTTGAGGATCAATCAACATAGCTATTGTAGCATTAGAACATGGCTTTCTGACTGCCGGAAATTAACTGCTATAATTTACTCCCAGTTGTTGTTTTTTTTTATTGTTTTTTGTTTGTTTGTTTGTTTTTTTAACCCTCACCAGAGAATATGTTTTTATTGACTTTAGAGAAAGGGGGTGGGGCGGGGGAGAGAGAGAGAGAGAGAGAGGAACATCAATGTGAGGAATATCGATCAGTTGTTTCCCATACACACTCCCACCAGAGATCAAACTCTAAACCCCAGCATGTGTTCTGACCAGGAATTAAACCCATGACCTTTTGGTACACAGGATGATACTCTAACCAACTGAGCCACTCAGGCCAGGGCTACTCCCAGTTTTAAAATATAATTTATAATGTGCAAGCAATGTAAGGTTGGCCACCAATAAGTTGAAAACACACATACAAAAAAACCCCAACACCCAGATATAGATACTTCAATATAGTCTAGCATATGTATATAAACATAACCCTTGTATGTTATTATTTTGTAAATTCCAAAAATTAACCTAAAATTTGGTTTGAAGCACAAAATTTAAGAGTCATTTTGGTTTTAAAATATAAATACACACCTTCTCATTTGCAGATGTACAATCTTGCCCGGGGATTATTTAAAAACTAAATATTTAACATGGTTCTCATACACTGAGGGAGCAGGAAATGATTCGAAGCTAGAGAATTTTCGAGAGGCCACTAGGAACTAAAATTTGGACATTTTGAAAACACTGCTTTTCAGTGAGAATCAACCTTTCTTCCCAAACTCAACTTCCCTAACCTTAGCAAGACTATTTCCAGACTTAGAAAGTTCCCAAGATATGTTTTCATCATTAGGCTTAAAAGCTCAATGGCTTTGCCCTTCTGAATGATAATGTGTATTTAAATGTTTTAATCCCGTATTTACATAATCCATCCCTTTCCCCTTACATTGAGCCAGTGTCTGGTAGGAAATGCTCAAGTGTTCCTCCCCCTGGCCTCAGGGTGAGCTGCCCCTGCGCCTGCCCCTCCCCTCCTCCAAAGCCTCCTTAATCCTTTTCTTCCTTCTCTCCTCCTGGACCACACTACCAGGACCACTGAAAGGTCGCTATCCATCCCAGCAGGTACAAAGACAGAACTGTCTCATGGTCAGGTAACCTGGGTCTTTCGAAAGAAAGATGATTATTTTTTTGAGCCCGAAGAATTGTAATGGCAAATCCCCAGGACTACAGGGTTGCATTTGGTTTTAGGAAATAGTTAATAGTTCTTATCCTTATCTGACCCTTATCCTGAGGGCCCTGCGATTCAGGAAATGACAGTGAGACACTCAAATCAGAGCAAGAGATGCTGTCTGAAATCGGAGTGGGCTGGGAGCAACCCCAGTAGGTGGTTGTTGTTCTGTTTATTTCCTGGTTGGTTTGAAATAGGGAAGTTTCAAGAATGGTTTGGGGTATATAAATTGGTTCTTGTTTTATGTAAAACCAGATAATCCCCCCATTCCTAGTTCTAGTCTTTATCATCAAAATGCTCAGAAGGGAGGATTAAGCAGACCTCACTTAGGAAAGTGGGATTTGGAATTTCAATTCGCTGATATCTAAATGCAACCACAAAGGATTCTGAGATTTTTCCGGACCTGCCATCTGGAGCCCAGGCTTTGCCAGTGTCTTTGCCTGTCTTTCAAATCTGCCCACCACTCACATATCTGACATACCTGGGTACAAAGAACTGACTGACGGGGAGACGTGGTACTTTCCAGAATCCAGGAAATTGAATTATCCACATAGGAAATTTCACAGAGTAAACAACCCAACTGCTTTTTTTAATTAAAATATTCTGAAATAAAGATTAGGCTGTCAATGCCTTCTTTTATAGAGGGAAGGGGATTTTCTGCAAGGATAAAATCACATGTTTATATGGTTATCTTTTTTTTTTCAAGTCCAAATATGTAAGTGTGAGAAAAGGCAGCTTAAATCCTACATAAATCATGGGCAGCATTAAAGTCAACTATATGCAATTTTTCCTTGTTTCCACGAATGACACACAGTGGTGGCGAGTGGGGAATCATTTTTCTGAGAAGCAGCCGCGTACATTTGAAATTAGTTCTGTGATCCCAGCACCTCAGCATTAGGCTGTGCAATATTAGTCCCTAGAGGGTAAAGGTCTAAGCATCCTTTGCTGAACTTCCTTCTTTCTCCCAGAGATAACCCCTGTATTAGATCACGTTTATTTTACTCGTAAATCACCTCTCACTACAGGAGAGTTCAAAGTTTTAAAATGTTAGTTTTGGGATACTATTTTCTTTTCTTTTTTTTTTTTTTAGCTAGAGCACCACTGGTTCTTAACCTGATATAATATCAATCTCTCTCAAAGAATAACATTGTCTTGATGTAAAGCCTTAGGTTAAACTACAAATTTTGTGTGTGATACACTTTTTTTTTGAATGACCTGAATTCTTCTCTTTAGCCTTATAATGCTTTCCTTGCTGCAGTAAAATGGATAATGACAGAACTTGTCTTGTAAGTACAATTGCTACATTTAAAAGAATATGACTGCTTTTCTTGTGTATTATTAAGTGAATTGGGAGACTCTACTTCATGCTTTCAATAACCGTTAGATCCATAATACTTTGAGATAATCGCATTGAAAACCTCGAAGTACCGAAAGCTGAGACCAAAAATTATCTTGTATTAAGTTATTCACGGTCACTGCTTATGCCCTTATATCATTGTTTAGCAGACTAACAGCTTGCAATACACAAACCAAATTTATTTATTGTGGTCACTGTTAAATTTAACATAGATGTCTGACTGCCGTTAACGCAGCCTGGGTGGGCTGTGGTCTGAAGAACAAATTGCCAGGGCTGTCCACTGTGCTACTCGGATGTCTTGCCACATACAAGGGTGGGGCCGGTGCAGTCAGGGGCCACGGCTGGAGGCTTTTCTCAGGTGTGATTTCATTGTTGACCCTGTCAAATTGCCGTCCTGTTTGGAGGGTGCCGGATGCATCGGTGACCCAGGTCAGACTGAAATGGCACAGAGGTGAAAGGCTTGACTTCCAGATGAGATGATGGACACGTTACAGAAACACTGCATCTCACAGGAGGAGGGGTTCCATGGATGGCATGGAGGCCAGATCCTCAAACTGCACCAAACTCTCCCATTCTCATTTTCCTCATTAGGGTTCCAGCTCTGTGGGCTTAGGCAGACTTCTTGCCATTTGGTGAACAGACATTATCTTCTCTCTTGCTTTCATGTAACCTACATTCATTTAATAATTTATAATTTAAGTAGGGAGTAAGCTCTGCATGTACATAGGAGACAGAAAATGCCATAACAGATACCAGTGGGACTTTTATTGAGAGTAAGTTGCTGGAGATACTAGCCATGTGCCTGAAAAAGAAATGGTCTGTGTCCATTCATTTCGGAGGAGGATTTATATTACTTTCGCATTCTTTATGAGCATTTGAGAAATTTCAATTTTTTAAAATGTGCATTGTGGTCTAATTTCATAAAGAGAAATTTGTCCCATCTGTCCCTACACACACACACACACACACACACACACACACGTCTCACACACACATGTCTCACACACACGTCTCACACACACGTCTCACATACACACACACACATCACACACGTGGCTGAACAAGCTTGCATTGAAGTATAAATTTTGAAAGCTTCCTTTATTGCTGCAGGTCATAGTCTGTTATGGAATATTTTATTTGTATTTCTGAACCCGGGCAGGGGGAGCCCTTTAGAAGTTGACTTTTTATATGGACTCAGACTACAGCTAGAAACCCTTTCGCCGAGGAAGCAGAATATTTCTCAGCAGAGTCCTCGAGTCTAGGAAAACCTGACTCCAGGGTTCGGTTGGCTTTGGTGATAAAATAGCCTTTCACATACGAGGTAAAGCCAGTGGAAGGGGGGCGGTCACTGAACCAGCCATGTCGCTATCTCCAGATTGCGATGCCCTTCTTTCCAAGCAGGTGAGCAGTGCTGGGAAACGCACGTCGCTCTTCCATTCAGGGTGTGGATGGCCAAGTAACATTGGGCTTCTCTGTCACTTCTAGGTTCCTGGTGGAATTTAACCTCTGCAGTTGGTGGCACTCAGATCTGACAGCTAAAGGTAAGCAGCCACTGGCGTCGGCTTCCCAGCTCAGAGTGATGAACCCTGGGTTCACTGGCTGCTTTTCATCAGGGATGTGCTCCCATGAAACTACTCAGGACAAACTGATGAGTTTGGAGCTCTGTCAGCAAAGGCACCCTTTGTGCTAAGTGCAGTGCCATCCAATCTGACAAAAATTCCACAACCCTCATTCAGCCCATGTTGAATAATCACTTTGACCTGTGTCCTTTACTAAGGCTTAGAGGTCATACATTGCACAGGTGACGTTATCAGGAAGCTGCTGGGCAGTGCTAAAATCTGAGGGAGACAGACAGAGGTCATACATTACAAGGTGACGTCATCAGGAAGCTGCTGGGCAGTGCTGAAATCTGAGGGAGACAGACACAGTGCCTTCTCAGGCTGAATGGAGAGATAACTGCTCTGTTTTGTTTCAATTACCTTCATAAAATAGAAATCTAATCATAAAACTTTTCCTGCCCCCAAACCTTCAGTGATTTGAGTGGTAATTAGTAGAAGCTCTCATAGTCATGAGTTGTGGAGTTAGGTCAGTATGCATTGAGTCCTGGCTCCAAGACTGACATTTGACAAGCTAGCTGATCTGGGCAAGGCTCAGTTTTCTCACAGTAAGAAAAATACGTAGTTGGTGCTCAATCTTTGCTTACTACATACCCCCCCTTTTTTTATTTTTGGCCAGGTATGACCATTATAGTCACTGTCATCATAGCTTTGTAAATTACACTTAGGCCCATTTTTCCTAAATTCAGAAACTCACTAAGTTCTTGTTAGAGTATGAGATGCAGCAACACATGCAGAGTTCGATGCATGGATACACGAGCATGGATAACAGTGAACGTGACCCAAATGTGTTCAGGTCGGCTCTGTCCTGGGAAGCTGACAGCCCCGTGGACCAGGCCCAGATGCTCTGCCTTCATCCACACACACTGTCTGATGACACTTTGGGCATGGGCTTGGTCCTTGCCCCTTCCTGCCGGGTTGGTACCATCTTCGAATGACAGCGAGTGCCCATAGTCCCACTTCTACAGACCTAGCCTTCAGGAAATAAACTGAGATGGGAACCAAGGATTCTATGTAGGATGATCATCAGCAGGGAATTTGGACTGCAAATACCAGCAACTCTTTACATGATGAACAATAGGGACCTTTTTTTGTTGTTGTTAATCCTCATTGGAGGCTATTTTTCCATTGATTTTTAGAGGGAATGAAAGGGACGGGAGAGACATATCAATTGGTTGCCTCCCGCACAGGCCCTGACCAAGGCCACGGATCGAGCCTGCAACCAAGGCATGTGCCTTTGACTGGAATTGTACCCGGGACTCTTCAATCTGAGGGTGGACACTCTACCCACTGAGCCAAACCAGCTAGGGCTATGGGACATTTTAAGCTAAATTACAACTCATTCACAGGAAGGCATAAAAACCTTTTTAAAAGATCCTGCTCCTGAAAATTTTTACCAGGTTTGAAAATGCTCATGAAATTAATTAATATAACAAGAAAAAAATAATATAGAAAAACTGTATATACCCCCCCTCCAAAGCATTCAGTGGTGGGAGAGGAGAGTGTAGCGTTAAATAGGACCAACAATCAGGATGCCAATGGCGAGCCAATGAGCAGAGACCAAGATATGAATTAAAAGGAGGAGACTCATGCACCCCCAAAGAAAAATGTACCTACATTTTTTCCATTTAAAGAATATGGTATATGATTTGGGAAAGAGAGATGAGAAGAAACCTACTAAATGGGTGCTTGTTATCTTTTTTAAAATTTTATTTTCGCATTTGACTAGCTTTTCCACAATTTTACTACTTGTGGTAAAAATAAAGATAAATGAGATTAAGAGAGAGAAAAGGCAGATCAATGGAGGCTAAGAGAACGGGTGCAAGTTAGTTAAAGGGCTGCAATCTCTGGTGCACCGGAGCCTAGAGACAGACCACCAGCTCCCCACCAGCCCGCCCCACCAGCCCGCCCCACCAGCCCTGGCTCTGGAGGCGGCTTCACCCGAGTGCAGGGACTGTGGTTTCCGAGTCAGGAACCTTCCTGTTCCACTCGCTGGCTGCGAGGTTCTGGGTGAGTCACGTGGTCTCTTTAGGCTTTGATTTCCCCGTTGGCCAACAGACAACAGGAGACATGATGTGGTTGTGGGAGATGAATGAAAGGGTGGTGTCTGCAAGAATGGCAGGTGGGCATGGGCGACGGGTGGTCCTCATGTTCTGGGGGGTGGTGAGCGTTTTGGCCAAGGGGCCTGGCTAGGGAGTGTGCTCAGTGCTGAGGGCAACGGGCTGTTGTCTTCTGTGGTTTATGTTTGGCGCGCCTCCTCACACCGTGTGCCTGCCTGCTGTGGGGCTTCAAGGTGAGGAGGAGGATGTGTTCCTTCCTCGTGCCAGCCTCCATTCCCACTTCCCCATCCTCCCCTGGCGCGATTTCCTGCCCCACGCCTGCCACCACAGGCATCAGCCCAGGCTCTGGTCTGGTCCTTCAAATCTGACGATTAGTTTTTGAGTCTCTGCTGAGTACCAGTCATTTGGGAGGGATTTCGCCTCCCACGGGTCATTGCAACATCTGGAGACATTTTTGGTTGTGGCAACGGGATGGGGGTGCTACTGACATCTAGTGGGTAGAGGTCAGGGATGCCGCTAAGCGTTCTCCTACAGCACACAACTGCTGACAACAAAGAATTATTGAAAATGTCAATAGAGCAGTCCCCCCTTATCTGTAAGGGATATATTCTGAAACCCCCAATGGATGCCTGAAAGCATGGATAGTTCCAAACCCTATATATCCTATGTTTTTCCTATACATACATAACTATGATAAAGTTTAATTCATAAATTAGGCACGTTAAGAGATTAATAACAATAGCTAACAATAAGAGAGAATAATTATAACAATATACTATAATAAAAGTTATGTGAATGTGGTCTCTCTCCCTGATACCAAGATGGCTACTAATGGCTGATGGGCTGTAGCATATACAGCATGGACACACCTGACAAAGGGGTGATTCGTGTCTCAGGTGAGATGAAATGGAGCTGTGTGAGATTTTATCACACTGCTCAGAATGCTGAGCAAGTTAAAACTCACAAATTGTTTATTTCTGGAATTTTTCATTTAATATCTTTGGACTGTGGTTGACCGTGGGTAACTGAAATCACAGATAAGGGGGGACTGCTGTGCTGCCACTGTTGAGAAACCCTAGCGTAGACCAAGGGGTGGGGTGTAGGGTAGGGGGCGGCGGGCTTTGAACTCATGATGCTTACAGAAACGTGTGCAGGTTCCCTGTCTGAAATCTCACCTCCCCTCTCCCCTGCTTCTCTGTGCACCAGTATCAACAGTGGGCAGCATTTCAGCTCAGAGGAATATAGCAATGCTTCAGCTCTCTGCATCTGTTTCAGGAAGCTTTATAAAAAGGTCCTTAATAAATAATTCCAAGTTACCTCACTCCATTGCCACACCATGAGACCTTTCCCCACAAACTCTAGATAAAGTCCTTGTCCAGTAATCACACTGTGGATGCATGTTGTGCTCATGTGTAGTGCTGTTCCGTTTGCAGAATGCTGGCACCAGGTTACCTTCAGACCCTTCAGCTTACCTGAGAGGTGGGGGCTGCTAGATCTGTCCCTGAGCCTTTCTGAGACACCCAAGTCAGACAGCTAAGAGAGAATGGGCTCAGACCTCACCCAAGACCTGCCACCTCTGCCAGACAGTGGAGCGAGCCCCCTGGCCACCTTGGCTGCTGCTCATGAACTGTCGCATTCAGGCCTAAAGCCCTCTGCTGGGCATGGCTGTGACTTCCATTTTAGAGCTGAAGAAACCGAATCAAATGAGGGTGAATAAACTCCACTGTGGAGCTGCTATCGTATGGATATCTTTGTTAAATGTAATTCTTAGACTCAGTGTAAGGAGAGGAGGGTTCTGAGCACATAACTACATTGACTGACAAGGTCTCTTCATTTTGAACGTACTATTCCCTCCCTAGCTAAAGACCCTGAGCTGAGAGACGTACATCTTTGTTCCGCTAAAAATGGAATCCATAATTACACTGTTCATCTGCTTCGTTTCCTTAATGAGGGGACTGTGGAAGCGATTTCTGCTGAGTATCACAAAGGTATCATTTGGGCGAAGTTGCACAAAGAGAAGGGGCTTGCCGGCACCCGGTTATGAATGGGGGTGCACCCGCAGAGACAAAGGGAGAGGAAAGCTTTTCAAATGGCAACTCTATTCATTCCCGATTGTCTGCACGTAATTACTGTGAACTCGAGTCGGTTATTCTCATCAGGGACATTTGTTGCTAAGGGGAAATTAAAGATATTCAATTGTGTGGGGGCTTCATTGTGCGCGAGTGATGGGTCATGGTGGCTTCGGCTATAGACGTCCAGTGTAAGTGAGGTGGGAGGGAGAGTGGTGTGATGGCAAAGAGTGTAGCAGGCTCCGGGATGTGGCAGAGTGGGTATCTGGGCACCACCGCTCCCAGCAGTGTGACTGGGGCAAGCGCCCGCATTTCTCTGAGCTCCAGGTTCTTGGTCTGTAAACAGGAGAGCAGCAGTCCTTGCTCACTGCATGATGGTGAGGGTCCCGTCCATGCAGCGGGCCCAGCATGGTGTTCGGCATGTAGTGAGCACCTAATGAGTGCTGGCTGTGAAGGTGGCAGTGATTTGGCTGTTTAAGTAAATAATGATCAAGGTGAGCAGTCACTCTCTGTGGGATCAAGGCAGGCTGTGTTTGCTGTCTGAACCCCAGTTTTCCCTGCTGGAAAAAGAATCAGCCTGGCTTAGCGCCACGGTCCTTGTGTGCCTCCACCTGTGTAAGATAAGGAGCTTAAATGCCTGAGAGTTAAAATAGTACTCACTAGGTTGCTGGAGGCCCGAGTTGTTGGTTTGCAATTTCATAGATAAATAGTAAAGATTGGCAAATATGTGTGGTGTTTTCCAAAATATTCCAGACAAAGGCCTTCATAACAAACCACGTTAGATTAAATGTGTCTG